ATTTTTGTTCGAGAGTTGTCGGTCGGAAACGAAACTTGTTCGGTGATCACTTTACTCATGCATACATGGACTTAGGTACACTTTTAATCTAAAATTCCGACAATTAGCCGAACACTTAACTCTAAAATGACCTAATCATCAAGAATAGGGACTGAGGAGAGCAGTACCTCTCGAAACTCTCGACTGAAATTGGAGAATAAGGCGTGTTTCCTTGTTTTGCGCTTGCCGTGCGATAAGCTTGTCTCGCTGTGCGATTGAGCAAACTTAAAGGGAAAATTGCTGGGAACTTGCTTGCTGATTAAGGGGTATATAAGGTGCTGATTTAAAAGGATAAATTTGCTGCTCAAATCCTTAGGGAAAAAGTGACGGAAATTTTTTGCACAAGTAAGTCTTATATATATACACGGCCATGAGGGGATGATGGCGTGGCCATCTTATTCTCCTCACACTTTCTTGCATCTCATGGATCTCTATATGACTAATCATCCTCTTTTACCTAGCAAATGGCACAATATGATTGGATGAAAAATCTTTCCTTATGTACAAGAAGGCTCACGGCAATTACTAAATGTTTGGAATAATTTTCCATAATCTTCACGGCAATTAGGGCTTATATGTGATTAATCCCAATTAATCACTCAATTGATGTTTAATTGTTAAATTAAACATAATACTTAATTACCAAAATTATTTCGGACGTAAACGGTACGCCGAAAATAAATTTCGGTAATTCCGACTGAACTTAATTAATTCCGAAAATAATAAACGATAACGTTACTATATCGGAATTAAACGTACTTTATACTGATAAAATCTTGGGATATTACACGACCGGCACGGAGGGACCGGACTCCACAATCCCCGGGGGCGTCGGTGCCGAAGTGGCGGGAGTTGGAGGAATTATGCCGGCCCCGCCAGCGGAGGTCGAGCCCGTCTCTTTCTTGGCCGGCTTCATGAGAAAAGACATCCTGCTGGCCATCTTCTTCCTTTCTTTCAGTGGGTTCAGGTTGGCGTAAGCGTGCTTGTTAGCTTTCTTCACTGAACGGAGTCACACGCGCGGTGCAGAGGATAATAAACTGTCGAACATCGGCGAGTCAAGTGCTGGACTTAATAGGCTAAGCAGTAATCCAGTATGAAGGAATAGAGATTACCTGGAGTGGAATAACCAGTCTTGAAGTCGGAGGAAAGGCCGTAGGTGATCAAGCTCTCCTCTGACACCAAGTCACAGTAGAAACGCTCGTCCTCGTCGAGTGCCAACAAAGTGCCGACCTTCTCCGCTAGGTCGTTGCTGACGTCGAAACGTGGATTGCAGACTGAAATGGAAATACTGACCTGTTAGTATATGAGAAAAACATGTAATTAGAAAGTGACAGAATAATGATACTCACACTTGCCGGATATAAAACCGGTGTAAGGGTGCCGAGCTGCGTCCGGCGCTTGCCATGCGCCGGAAACCCAGAACCACTCCAGCATATAACCGTGCAACGATTCTGGTATTTTGTTCACTAAGGACCTATCCACCCCGGAGGTGATAGAGCTGTAGTAGTTACCGGTGTTACCGGACTTCTTGAAGACAAAAAGAGCCCGAATATCCGCACTCGAGGGGTCAGCCCAACCTTGCTTACGAAATAAGACGATCAAACCTATCAACCGCGTAAAGGCAGTGGGTACTAGTTGGCTGATCCCGATGCCGAGGTCGCTCAGGATGTCTCTCAAGACGCCGGGCAAGGGAAATCAGAGCCCGAGCCAGACGCAGTGACGATAGACTCCGATGTAACCCGACAGAGGACAATGGATACGTTCGCCGGCGTACGAGGCAAAGATCTGGATATCGGGGCTGAAGCTCACTTTGCCCCTTAATTGAACCAGGTCAACGTCCTCTAGAATGGACGGTGTGTTCCAGGCCGACATCTTGGTGGGAGTTGGCCACACGCGAGGGGGGCGAAGCCAGCTCCCGGGTGGGGCATAGGTTGCAGCCTCAACGGCGGCGTCGGTCTCGGCGTCGTCCTGTCCCATGGGGACCCATTCTCGTCCACGAGTCTCGCCCTGGAGGGTCTCTTCGACCAAACCGGGGTCGACGTCCGAATCACTGTCGGGAGACCCGCCGTCCGGTATAGCCTTATCTTCCTCGCCGTCGGACTGACTGGAGCCGAGGTTAACGATATCGACCACTAGGAACTGGGGGGCCCCCTCCCTTTGTGGGTCAGCCGCCACCGTCGACGGCCTGGTCCCCCGAACGGCCGAGATCAGCGTAACTCTAAGGGGTTGCGTCGCCTCCGCCGCTGGTGGAGAATACACCACAATCTCGCTGGTCTCCTCCGCGGGCTGTCTCTCGCCCTCGCCGGAAAGGTTCGCCGTGAAATTCGAAGAACTCGACATATTGGGAAGAAAATAGAAAGAAAAGGAGTGAAGAAATTACCGAGAAGAAAGCTCCGAAAAGTTCCCGAAATTTTTCTTGCTGAATCGCTCTGAAGACTGCCGGAACTCGCTTGAAATTGCAGAGAAGGTAAAAGCTTTTCGAGGAGGAAGATGGCCCTTATATATAGAATGGTCCGACCAGTCGCGACACGCCACGTGGCGACTTTTAAATTTCAAAATTTAACAAAAATAACTATTCGAATCGAACGGCCACGATCG